GCCTTGGGCAGCACGGTTGATGATGGGGTGGCAATGGAGGCTGTTAGCAGCACAGTTGGTGATGGTGTGTTGATGGGGCCCTTTGGCAGCACAGTTGGTGATGGGGTGGTGATGGAAGCTTTGGGCAGCACAGCTGGTGATGGTGTGGTGATGGGGGCCTTCAGCAGCACAGTTGGTGATGGGGTGGTGATGGAGGCCTTCAGCAGCACAGCTGATGATGGGGTGGTGATGAAGGCCTTAGATAGCATGGTTGGTGGTGGAGCAGTGAAGAAGGCCTCTGTTGGCATAGTTGGCAACATGGCAGAGGTGGCCACAGGTGACAGCTTGGTTGGCAGTGCCAAGATGGGAAAGGCTGCCAATGGCGGCATGGTCGGCGCTGCAGTGGGCAAGGCTCCAGGTGAGAGCAAGGTTGACATACCTTGTAATGACGTGGAGGTGAATGGCAGAGATGGGCTAAAAGGAGCTGAAAGAGGCAGAGTAGCTGGGCAAATTAAGTGGTCGTCCCTCAGCAATGTCAGTGCTTGCCCTGCCAGGTGGGGTGGACTCTTGCATGACACTTGGGTGGACAATTTGACCTTCTCACTGTTGCCCAGGATCCAGCTGTGCAGGTAGCAGAGGTTGCAGTCACATCTCCATGGGTTCCCACTCAAATACACTGAGCTGAGCTTCTTCAGGGGGTCCAGGAGACCTTGGGGGAGACTCTCCAGCTGGTTCTTCTGAAGGCTGAGGGTTTTCAGATTTGGGAGAGAAGCAAAGACATCATCATCCAGAGCAGAGAGATTATTTGTGTCCAGCTGGAGGTCCGAGAGCTTGCTGAGCCCAGTGAAGGCACCTCTTGGTAGGGCTGCTAGCTGGTTGTGGGACAAGATTAGCTTGCCAAGAGACGTGAGGTTGACAAAGATGCTGTCTGGAAGTGTGGTCAAACTGTTCCTGCCCAGATCCAGCTCCTGCAGATGTGGCATGGTGTCAAAAAGGCAGCAAAGGAGCTCCGTAATGTGGTTTGAACCCAGAGTCAGCAGCTTCAATTTGTTTAAACCAAAAAAGCTCTGAGGTGGGAGAACCGTGATGAGGTTGTTGTCCAAGAAGAGTTTCTCCAGGTGAGACAGGCTCCTCAGGAGCATGGGTGGCAGCACCCTGAGCCTGTTCCTCTGGAGACTGAGCTCCAGCAGCTCCAGCTGACTGTCTAGCAACCCCTCTGGGAGGCCCTGCAACTCATTCTCATACAGCCGGAGGACTTGCAGCCGAGGGAGTTTGCTAAAGGCATCCCCAGGAAGAGTCGTGATCCTGTTTCTAGCCAGGTCCAAAAACGTTAGGTTGACAAGAGAATCAAAAACGCCTTCTGGAAGAGAAGGGATTGTATTGATGCGCAGTGAGAGCTCTCCCAAATTTTCCAGCCCATCAAACAGGCCTTTGGGGATATTTCTGATGTGGCTGTCTCTCAGCTCCAGCCTCTGCAAGCTTGGGAGGTTTTGGAAAGTGCCCACAGCTAGTTCTTCTAACGAGGCACCAGATATCTCCAAGTCCCTCAGCTTCTCCAAACTATCAAAGGCTCCAGGTTCAACTGTCTCGATCTTGTTGTCAATAAACAAAATCTTGATCAGGTTGGGCATGTACCTGAAGGCACCTTTCCTTATAGCAGTGATGCTGGTTTGCACAAAGATCATCTCAGAAATGAATGGCTTTGCAATCTTTGGGATCTCTTTGATGTCATTTTTTGTCCCTCTGTAGACCTCCTGGTAGTCTTTGGGCATTTCATATGGATCTTCACCAAGGATTTGATCTTGGCATTGATGGGGATGGAAGGAGAGGAAGAAAAGGAAAAAGAAATGCTGGTACATTGTCCTGAAAAAAAGGTTTCAAAAATCAGTTATGAAGAACAAAAAAAAATCTCTGTCCACAGCTCATGAACTGTGGTACCATGCTGTTGTTCAGCTCTCAGGACTCTTCCATTCACATATCATAACTCATTTGATGAGAAAGAGAGAGATTGTACAAGCCAATGTATGCTGCATTTACAAGAGTTCACTGCCATTGGTACCGAGGGATGGACAGGAAGGGAGAACAAGCCAGCTCATGGCTTGGCACTGGGAGATGCTCCAGGAGGGGCAAGGGCTGGACAGTCTGTTCTCTGACCATCCTTCTCCCACATTTGGGTGGTAGGCTTGGCATCTGTCTGGGTGAAAAGGGCAAAGTGCTGCTGCCCATTAGTGCTGCCCCAGTGGGTCCAGTTACTCAGCAGGGCAATAGCCCATTCATGCCACAACAGAAGCAATCAGCCTTGTGCTTGCTAATGAGGGACCAGAAAGGGTCCCAGGAGCCAGCCAAGACCAGATGACCTTGTTTACTCAGAATTTCCACACTGTGCTGGATGGACTTGCTATTTCATTGGTGTTTCTCTCAGTTCAGTGGAGTCATTTAAAACATTGCTTCTAAGCATCTCCTTTTCGGGATTCTTGGTAATTGCATCGTATTTTGGCCTTGGTTATGCAGCTATTTCAAATAGAAATGGTTAACTTGTGAGCAACAACCAAGATTTAGAGCAAGGCTTGCTAAAAGGCTATGAAATATCCACAGATGACCTCTTTAATACCTAACATTTAAGGGTCTGACCTACAGTTAGGAAGTGAAGTCACTAATGCACACCCACCAGTAGCCATGTAAAGCCCACCACTTCCATTGAGTCATTTAGAAACACTCTACTAACAAATTAGCTGGGGTTTAATGACCGTGAGCATCGTATTGGGTCAGTAGTTTCCAGCTTGTGATTCACAGTCCTGGGTGGGAACAGGGAAAAGGGCTGTGGGTTGCTTCTTGGGTGTCCATCAAAGCTGACCATGCAAAAAAACTTATGCTGGGAGGGTAAATTTGCTACGAAAAGTTATTTTTTGAAAAATGTTGAGATGTCAGCAAATACAGGAGGCTGAAAGCCACTGGGTTTGAAGAGAAACCCGTGGGAGGTGAGGTATGTGCCAGCTGCCCCGCGGGGCTCACCAGGGTAGAAGCCGCTGCTGACCCCTGCCCATCCTCTCCCCAGGGAGACTCAGGTGCAGGAGCTGGGGGCACGGGTGCAAAAGCACCTGCTTCACTTCAGCTGCAGGGGCAACGCAATGGGTTAAATGCACAGGTGGGAATGGCTGGACTGGCTGCACGAGGATTAAGTTTAACAGTTTTGAACTGCAGAGTTCTTTTAAAACCCTCCCTCACCCTGTCTGGCTGTGGTGGACCTCAGTGTGGTCCCCTGCTTGTCCCGCCCTCCAGCAGTGCAGGGACACAAAGAGATGGTTCCAGCTCACGGCGCTGCAGCCTCTCCTGCTCCTTGCTGCAAGAAAATGATCAACAGCCCCCCAGAGCCACCCCTCCCGGCACATTTGAAAGAGAAAACAAAAAGCGTTTTGCATCACTTACTTGGCCAAGCGCTTGTGAACGAGTCCAGCTGCCAGAGCGAGGTGTGCCGTGCGAGGAGTGAGGCCACCAGATGGGGGTCCCATCACCTGGCCAGCTCTTTATCCATGGCCCAGGCGCAGGGCTTGGTTTCTCACAAGGTCAGGGAGCAGGTCTGCAAGGGGAGATAAGGGGCGGTGTGGAAGCGAGCAGCGAGCTCTGCCCACAGCATGGGAGGCCATTTGCAGAAACCCCTCAGAGAGGACACAGGCACGTACTCCCTAGGCATTATCTGCTGGTGCCACTTGACTAATCACATCCAGGGAAACCTAAAGACCTCCAGGCCAGCCTGTTTTGTAGCTGAAGCTCTCTGCAGTCCCATATCTCCACCAGCATAACCCACCAGCTTCACAGGCGCCACCCCCACCAACACAACAAAAAGGATCTTTTCCTATTTAAAGCTTTTCCTATTAAAAATATCCAGCTGTTTCCTTCCTCAGGAATTGGCTCATGTAGCTAAAGGTGCTGCTCTGAAGCCATTTGTTTACGCTTATAGCATTGATGACTTCGGTGGCTGGACAGATAGGCTGACACCCAGATACACCGGGCTCAGCCCCATAGCCTCACACCTCGCCAGCCGTGGGGCTGGGGCTGAGAGCTGTGCTTCCCTCCACGCTAGCACAAGCCAAAGACCCTCCCGCAGTGACACCCAGGACTTCTGGCTGGTGCAGGGCATTTTAAGTCTTGTGCTAGGCATCCATCACTGCCCACTGGATAATTGCACTAGTTGCATTTAAGCATTTCTTCTTCAGCTTTCACCTGCTTGTATTAAGGTTCAGCTTGTGCTCCTGAGCTTTCCTGGCAAATTTAGAAACATTCCAAACTATTGCACATTTTCAACAGCCTTACCCCTTTCCAACATCAACCCTGTACACATCCCCGCTCGGTAACCAGGCTGCTCCAGAGGCTGTAGGGTGGCGGAGCCAGGGTGCACGAGGGCACAGAG